GATGGGGCGGCGGGGAGTGGTTCTGGGTGGGATGCTCTTTGGAGAGTCAGTGTGGGCCTCGATGGGCCAACTGGTCTGCTTCCACATTGTAGGGATTCTGTGGTTCTGCTGCTGCAAAGATGTCAGTGCAAGTCGTTTTAAGACAATTAAATTTAACACAATTGAATTAATAAGAGGCATTGTAAGTCTGGCATGGTGCTGCTTGATTCTAATGAAACAAATAGGATGGTGGCCAAATTTGCTTACAAACAAAAATCAAAGATTTAATCATCTACCCATCTCTCTTTTAGCTGTTTCATGACTGATTTTTCTCTCTTTTTTTTTTTGCTTTGCGCTAATATCTTGTTTAAAAAGGTATTATTTCAGTTCATCGAGGGCGAGTGTGACAGACTTTGTTTTACCATGTGTAAAAGTGTAGTGGCGCTAAACTTTGTGATTCTCAACTATTTTGCATTGACACTTGACACTTGAAAGATCTGAGGAGTTGAAATACATTTTAAAATTTGTGCGCATAGCAAAACTACCATGCCTTTATAACTGGGATAAAACTTTGCAACTGTTTTATTTAATTCCGGATTTGCAAAGCAAAATTTAATGATAGACAACGCTGAGCAGAACATAAAATTGTCAGACAGAGGGCCATCAGTGGTATATGGCAAAGACTGTATTTCACCAACAGTTGAATATGGATAATTGCAAATACACACTTACATTTAGTGTGGACTGTACTGTTGACAGATTTACTTTTTGACAAACCCTATAAACAGAGAATTGGAATTCGAAGTCCCACCTGAGATTTAGCATCTCCATCACTACCGCACTCCCTCAGAGCTTCAGTAAACTACCAGTGTAGTTAAGGCACTCAAAATTTATTTTCTCAGGATCGGTAATAATAGAAGAGCTTGAAGAAAATAAATGATATTTGCTTAGGAGCAGTGAAGTAAGCAGATATTTGCATTGAAATTCACTTGTTTTAGAGAATTTGTTAAGTTATACCTTTTAGTATTGATTTGCTACAAATTGTTTAGGTTATTGGACTGTTGCTTTTTTTTGAGCTCTTCACTTAACAGAGCATTACCAGAAACACGAGTCAAGCAATGTTTGTTGTGAAGACACAAATAGTTAATATTTTAGCCATAAAACCTGTCCTAGAGTGTAAAATTGCAGCAATTTATCTTTTGGGTTTACTTTTAACAGCAGTGGGGTATATTTGGGTAACAAGGAGTTTTAACTTGACACTACCTCTCCTGAAGTGAGTGTTCTAATGTATATATCCAGTACCAACCATTCTGAAAGTATTTTAAATACCGTATAAATCAACTGAACCAAGATGAACTGAGTTCTGATGCTTTATTGCCTTTTATTTAAAAGGATTATGGATGTTAAACTAAATTGGACCTCTTTTTAAAGCGAGAAAGTGATACTGGAAATCTCAAATGTCTTCCAGTCCTGTGTTCACACTTTATTAACTTTAAGAATCTGTTCTTAACTGTGGTTCATGGAGGCTCCAACTGTTTCAACTCTACCATTGGAACCTCTCTCCTTAAACTTAAACTTTCCTCTGCTATTAAAGGCCTTCTCAATATTCAATCATTTGACTGATTTTTTTCAGTGTTTTAACTCTCCAATTAAGATCCTTTCAATCCATCCTCCTATGTTAACATAAAAAACTTTACAAAAATGAAAATGGTTGACCAGATAGGAATGATTTACCTTTGTGTTTGAAGGAAGAAGTAATTCAAATATTCAAACTGGGTAAATTCAAAGTCTAGACTGAATTGGAAACTGTAGGGATTAGGGAGATTATAAAGTTTCAGGAAGTGCCTTGGTGTTCCAGAGATGAGGAAGAGAAAATGGCCCAGAGTTATGATTACTGAAAATGGATGTTTCTGAGTGTTGAATAAGGAGACGATCGTATATTATTTTTGATGGTCTCCTCCATGCTAATGTACCATGTGCTCAGATTTAATGGCAAGCTTTACCCCTCAGTTTTCTTCATTTGTTTAGCTAGTTACTCCCTTGCCCAAGGAATTTAACCTGTACAGGAGTGGGAGCATAATAAAAAAGGCCTTGATAATGTTGACTTTTGACTTGTATTGTTTTCTCATGTTTTGGGATGTTCTGTTGTTACAGTATGCATTTATGCAACAATTTTATCAAAAGCAGAAATCAACACTACTTGTAAAAACAGCAAAATGAATTATGCAATCGTCAGGAAGCTTCTAAATTACAAATTGAGGCATACATTTACTTGTTAGCATTTTAAATAAATCATATTTCTTGTGATGTCTGAAAGTGATTGGAATATTTATTATAATATTTGTTTAGTCACATAATTAAGACATCATTTTGATCCATATTCAACATTTTATCCATTCTGCCAGAGAGCATTGAAAATGTCTGCCTTTCTTAGCCTTTTCCTCATCTCTACAATTTTCAAGTTTTTAAAGCCTGACATTATTGATATTTAACTACCATTTCATCAAATGCTTTGGTTCAATCTTTGATAATTCTGTTGAATTAAAATTGAATTTAAAAAATCATTATATGATCATGTAGAAATTTTCATTGCCCTCCTCAACTTATTTTGCCAATGTTAGGATTGTGTTTTTCAGGAGGATAGGACATGGTTAAGTCACGCAAGTCTGCTAGGTAATGCCTTTCAAATTCATGACTTCTTTCACTAGAACAGCAGTTAACATGGGGATTATTACCACCTGCAAGTTCCCCTCCAAGTAACACTCCATCCTAACTGGATCAAAATCTTGGAACTTGCTATTTAGCAGACTATGTGATAATCTACGTGACATGGACTACATTCTTCAAGAAGCTAGCACACCATTACCTTCTCGAGTGCAGTTAGGAATGGGTAATAAATGTTGGCTTGCTCAGAAAAAATCTTTTTTGACTTAGCAAAAACAGGAATTTAAGGACCGCAACTTCCCCCCCAACCCCCATCAGTGGTTGAGAACGCCCTCAACCATGTCTCCCACATTTCCCGCAACTCATCCCTCACACCCCGTCCCCGCAATAAGAACCAAAAAAGAATTCCCCTCGTCCTCACGTACCACCCCACCAACCTCCGGGTCCAACGCATCATCCTCCGACACTTCCGCCATCTGCAATCCGACCCCACCACCAAAGACATCTTTCCCTCCCCACCCTTATCTGCGTTCCGGAGGGACCACTCTCTCCGTGACTCCCTTGTCCGCTCCACCCTCCCTTCCAGCCCCACCACACCCGGCACTTTTCCCTGCAACCGCAGGAAGTGCTACACCTGCCCCCATACCTCCTCCCTCACCCCCATCCCAGGCCTCAAGAGGACTTTCCACATCAAGCAGATGTTCACCTGCACATCTGCCAATGTGGTATACTGCATCCGCTGTACCTGTTGTGGCCTCGTCTACATCGGGGAAACCAAGCGGAGGCTCGGGGACCGCTTTGCAGAACACCTACGCTCGGTTCGCAATAAGCAACTGCACCTCCCAGTCGCGAACCATTTCAACTCCCCCTCCCATTCCTCAGACGACATGTCCATCCTGGGCCTCCTGCAGTGCCACAACGATGCCACCCGAAGGTTGCAGGAACAGCAACTCATATTCTGCTTGGGAACCCTGCAGCCCAATGGTATCAATGTGGATTTCACAAGCTTCAAAATCTCCCCTCCCCCTACCGCATCCCAAAACCAGTCCAGCTCGTCCCTGCCCCCCTAACCTGTTCCTCCTCCCACCTCAAGCCGCACCCCCATCTCCTACCTACTAACCTCATCCCGCCCCCTTGACCTGTCCGTCCTCCCTGGACTGACCTATCCCCTCCCTAACTCCCCACCTACACTCATCTTTACTGGCTCCATCCCCGCCTCTTCGACCTGTCTGATTCCTCTCCACCTATCCTCTCCTCTATCCGTCTTCTATCCGCCTCCCAATCTCTCCCTATTTATTTCAGAACCACAATTTCTGATGAAGGGTCTAGGCCCGAAACGTCAGCCTTTCTGCTCCTATGATGCTGCTTGGCCTGCTGTGTTCATCCAGCTCTGCACCTTGTTGTCTCGGATTCTCCAGCATCTGCAGTTCCTACTATCTCAAATTCTGAGATGGTTGTTTGATAATGTCCTAGGGCAATAATATGGAGACCTAGGCTTTAGGGGACATGGGTTTAAAACCAGAGTTGGTGGAATTTAAATTCAATGAATTAAAAGAAAAACTGAAATTTACAGTTTCACGGTCACCATTATTGAACTTTATCATCAATTCCGTCATCTGGCTTACTGTGCCCTTTTGAGGAGGGAAATCTGCTGTCCTTACCTGATCGTTCTTTCATGTGACTTCAGATCCCAATGTGATTGATTCTTAACTGCCCATTGAAGTGGTCAAGGGCAGTTAAGGATGGGTGGCAAATGCTGGCTTTAGCATAATGCTCACATCCTATCAAATAATAAAATAAAGTTAGCACGTTCACTTCAAACTTGAAGTGTTGTCTTTTATACTCACTTGAAAGGTGCTTAAGATGGCTAGAAAGTAACCTGGATTTAATGTAGATCAAGTGGAGGTGTATGAGAGTTCCTTTCTGCTGGTGGCACATTTTTGAGACAGGGTAGAATCTGTGATGCAGCACAGTAGTGTGCTAATATTATGAAAAATATTGGATAATAAATGTAATTTCTGGGAGAAGGTGAAATGAGCAGCTTTTACCAATGGCGATCTGGTATAGGAGTTACATTTATTTGCAAAAACAATAAGAGGTTTGACCAGGGTGGAGTGAGAATTAGCCTGTTGGTGATTTTCAACAGAAAGAACTGCTAATTGATCTGTGCTTTGTGGATGATGTCATAGAATGGTTACTACACAAAAGAAGCCTATTTGCATGTTTTAAAGACCCACCCATCAAATCAAGGTGGTTGATATATCAATTTAGTGTTTGATTTTTCTTTGTAGTTTAATTATTTTCTTTCTTTGTAGTTTTTAATTTTTTTTATTTTTCTTTGTTGTTTAATTTTTCAGCTGTGATGCTGACCCATCAGCTTTAGCTAAATATGTAGTGGCTTTAGTTAAGAAAGACAAGCCAGAAAAAGAGCTGAAGGCTTTGTGCGTTGATCAACTGGACGTATTTCTGCAAAAAGGTAAGAATTATGCTTTGTTTCTTTTTCCTACAGTTTTCTTGTGCCTTTTTTTTGTAACGGCTAATGCATATATGGGATTCTCAAATACTGACGCAAGTAACATTCATCACACAGAAGTATAGACAGCAGTCACTAAATAAACTATTAACGCGAAAAAGATGGGGGAAACGAAAGATCATCATATTTGAGTTTTTTTCATGGTATTTTTGCCTAATTGGAAATACATGTTCTCAGCCAATGGAAAAGAGTATTATTTTCCACCTCACCACCTCAAACCCTACTTTTTCTAATTGTGGTGTTTCTATTGTTGATGAGGAAGAAATCAACTAATATACATCGCACCATGGTTTCAGCATCTGTATAATTCAGTTCCACAATGGGCTGTATATTTACTAATTGAATGATTAGGGAGGCAGTTTTGTTTATCTTTTTCCAGAAAGTATCAGCCTCACCTGACAAACTGTTTAATGCTAATAAACATTTTTAGTTTCTAATTTGCCAGTCTGTGATTATGAAAATCCTGTTTTAACCTCCCATGTAAGTTTTATTTTTCCTTCACGGTCACATTTTGTAACTGTTCATTCCAGTAGTATTGAGATTTTTAAAGAATAGGTGTATGCCAACACTTCTTGTTTTGGACTTGAATATTATAACAACAGAGACATTTCAAGTACATGGTTAATATTTAGCATGTAGCAGTCTAATGCGCAGTACCTTTTTAAAAAAAAACTCAATACCTGTTGGCCTCCCAACTACAGCCTGAAAACATTTTATTATTATAAAAGCAATTGAAATCAAAGATGGTTGTTATTGGGAGTCACCTTTTTAAATCTACCAGTTTGCCAAAATATAATAATGACTTGTTTATTTGAATTACACAGCTTGAATATTGGACAGGTGATTAGATGCTGACTGCAATCTAAATACATAAAATGATGCAGCCCTTGGCAAATTAAATTTGTCATCTAAAAATAACCAGTTTGTTTTGTGGTCTACCATTGTTTGCCTGACAATATCAAGTAGAGAGCCAAAGTTAATTGGTTCCTATGGACAGGACTACCTTGTTTTCCTCTGTTCTCCTTGGATCACTGCATACGTAGTCCCAGAGTGTGTGCTGTTTCAAAATACTTTAAAATAAAGAAGTACTTGAATGCAACCTCAATTTAGAAACAAATGGTATGGCAGTTTATTTAGTTGATGATATCCTGAAAGAAGCAGCATGCTTCATGAGTGTCAAGCCACAAGAAAGGCAGTGACATTCAAGCATGTACTAGAACTTTCGCTTGTTTACTAATGCAGCAGAGCAGACGAACATGGAGTCTGCAAATGAAGAAAATATATTTTGCTTTGCCGGAAGAAAGCATAGCTGTTCAATAATAATTTTCTGAAGGAGGGGTCCTGACCCGAAACGTCGGCTTTCCTGCCTTTGCTGCCTGACCTGCTGTGTTCCTCCAGCTCCACACTGTGTTATCTCTGACTCCAGCATCGGCAGTTCTTACTATCTCTGAGTGAGTTATAACCCCACTGCAATGCCATTTCTGAAGAAGGGTCCCGACATGAAACATCAGCTTTCCTGCTCCTCTGATGCTGCCTGACCTGCTGTGTTTCTCCAGCTTCACACTGTTATCTCTATAGTTGTTCATTTGTTCATTTCTTCATTTTTCTGAACACTTTTATGGTTGTCCCTAGTATTTTTTCTTGTACTTAAATTGATCTGCACTTCTGTATGCAAAATCTACTTTAGGGATTAGCTGTGTCTCAGCAGTAGAACTCCTTCTGAGTGAGAAGGTTGTGAATTTAAGTCACATTCCAGACACAAACACAAAATCTAGGTTGACATGGCAATGTAGCACTGTGACTGTTGCGCTCTGTCAGAGGTATTGCCTTTCATATGAGCTGTTTATCTGAGGTCCTGTCAACTCTTTCAGGGATGTGTAAAAGATACCATGGCAATATTTGAAGAAGAATAAGAAAGTTATCTTTGGTATTCTGGTCAAAATTTATCCCTCAACCAACGTCACTAAAATAGAGGACCTGTTCTTTATTTTGATGTTCACATTAATATGAAAACACCTTCATACACTTGAGAAACTCTCAGCAACTTCTGGAGTCTGCCTTCTTTAATACTTGTTCATAGAATGTGGACATTGTAGGCTGCACCAATATTTATTGCCCATCCTTAATTGTTCTGTAAATTGAGTCACTTGCTCAGGCATCTCAGAGGGCAATTCGGAATGAACTACATTGCTGTTGATCTGGAGTCATAGGTAGGCCAGACCAGGTTAGGATAGCAGACTCCATTTTCTCAAGGATATTTGTGAAACACATGGATGTTCTTGACGAATCAAATATGGTTGCATGATCTTATTAGGCTAGTTTTTAATCCCAGATATGTATTAAATCCATACTTCACTGCCAGCCATGGTGAGATTCCACCTCATGTCCTCAGGGCATCAGCCAGGTTCTTTGGATTAGTAGTTTAATGATATTCCCACTGCATGCCACCTCGTGTAAATTCAGTAATGCAGAAGTTGCTAACACGAATTCTGTTTTTTATTCTGTTGAAGTGCCCACAGACTGCAGTCAAATAGAAATGACTGAACTGACAAGAACTTTCTGCTTTAACCATTAGTCTTTCTGTAAAAACATTGTGTAGCATTGGGAGAGAGGAGTTATCAGTGGTTTTAGCAGGCTTTCCTAGGCCTAGATGAGAGTATCCAGGCTGCGTGGGAGGCAAGGGAGGAATTTCTGGGGCACTGACATTAACTTTCAGATTTTCTGTGGCCAAAGGAAGGGTGCCAGAGGACTGGAGGACAACAAATGTAATATGATTATTCAAAAAGGATGATGTGGATAAATCAGGAAACTACAGGGTTAGTGAGTTGAACATTTGTGGAGGGGAAACTATTGGAAAAAAATTATTAGGGACAGAATTAATCTCCAGTTGGAGAGGCAAGGGACATTCAAGGATGGTCACCATGGCTAAGGGGGAGATCATGTCTAACAAATTTGATTGAATTTTTTGAGGTGATGATTGGTGTGTAGTTGAGGGTATTGAAGTTAATGTAGCCTACACGGACTTCAATAAAGTTTTTGATAAGGTCTCGCATTGCAGGTTGGTTAAAAAGCTAAGAGTCTGTGAGATCAAGGGCAGTTTGGCAAATTTGATCCAAAATTGGCTTAGCGACAAGAAGCAGAGGGTGATGGTTGAAAGGCTTCCTGTCACAAAAAACCTCTGTCCAATCGTGTACCACAGGGTCCTTTGCTGTTCATTGTGCTCATTAATGATCTAGACATCGGGGATGATCAGTAAGTTTGCAGGTGGTATGTTAAATAGTGAAGTGGACATCTTTGGACTAAGCATGATATAGATGGGCTGAACGGTGGCAATGGAATTTAATCCCGAATACTGAGGTAATGCATTTTGGGAAGACTAACAAGGCAGTGGAGAGCATGTTCAATGATAGGGCCGTAAGAAGTACAGAAGATCAGAGTGACCTTGATGTGTATGTCCATTGGCTCTTGACAGCAGCAGGGCAGATAAAATCATAGAATCCCGACAGTATGGAAGCAGGCCATTATTCGGCCCATCAAGTCCACGCTGACCATCCAAAGAGGATCCCACCCAGACCCACCCCCCTACTTTGTCCTTGTAACCCTGCATTTCCCATGGCTAATCCACTAAGCCTGCACATCCCTGGATTCTATGGGCAATTTAGCATTGCCATACCACTGACCTGCATATCTTTGGACTGTGGGAGGAAACCTATGCAAACGTGGAGATAGATAATGTGGTTTAAAAGGTATATGTGTATTTGTCTTTATTAGTCAAGGCATTGAATATGAGAGTAAGTAAGTTATGATGGAACTGTATATAAGTTTGTTAGGCAATGACGAGCACAGTGTGCAGTTCTGGTCATTTCACTGTAGGAAGAATATGATTACACTTGAAGAATATGATTACAGCAGAACAGATTTACCAGGATGTTGCCTGGGCCGGAGTGATTCAGCTGTGAAGAGAGATTTGATAGGCTGAGGTTGTTTTTCTTTAGAGCAGAGATTGCTGAAGGGGATCTGATTGAGGTGTACAAAATTCTGAGGGTCATAGACAAGCTAGATAGGGAAAAACTTAACCCCTCAGCGGGTTAATAACCAGGAGCAATTTTAAGTTCAGGAGCAGGAGATTTAGAGGGAATTTGGGAAATTTAAGATGCAACTGGATTTTTAATTTTAATGACATACTGGGTATCATAAATAAGAACATAAGATGCAGAAGCAGGAGTAGGCAATTCAACCCCTTGAGCCTGCCAATGATCATGACTGATCTTCTCTGCCACAACTCTGCTTACTTGCCCGCTCTCCATATCCCTTCAACCCATTATTAATCAAAAATCTGTTTATCTCCTTTTTTTTAATTCATTTGTGGGATGTGGATGTTGCTGGCAGGCAGCATCAATTGCCTCTCCCTATTTCAAAGAACCATAGAATTTCTGCAGTGCACTGACCTTCCAAAGAGGGTCCCACTCAGACCCATGCCATTAACCTGCATGGGGTTTTTACTCTGGCTAACCTACCTAACCTGCATATCCCTGAACATTTATGGGGCAATTTATGACTGTTTTTGAGAGTTCTGAGTATTGCTGATTTGGAAGAGATCTTCCTACATATAAATAACCAAGTCCTGTCTGAAAGCATTGCCTATGTTCTTTGCAAAGTGCACTCGATTACTAAACTGTGAGCAATTTACTTGTTTGAAATATGTATAACATGTTGCTTTGCATGGCATCACTACTCATTATTAATCTGTAATTATTTTAACAGAAACTGTTGGATTTGTGGACAAACTTTTTGATGCTTTAAGCACAAAGAACTACGTGCCACGACCAGAACAGCTTGTCCAGGAAACTATAAAGCAGGACATGCAACCTACATGGCAAGAGAGGGAGGACAAGAAAGAGGTGAGTTACTTGTATTTACTTAGTGTGAGTTTTACATTGAAGTAGAGTATGGCCAACCTAGTAAATATAGTTTTGAATGAGAAATTCAGAGTTCAAGAATTTATTAAGTATCGGAATTTAGAGGATGTCACATGAAAGATGCTCATAGTTGTAAAATACCTCTGGTTCATTAATTTTCAATAGCAGAAGAATCTGATATTTTCAACTGAGATAAACCTACATGTAATTTTTGCATGTACTTGTTTAAGACATAATATGCACTTTTTCATTATCTTCTGTCCACTATATAGAAAATGAAACAAATGGATGTACAGTTATTTCACATGCAGTACAAGTGGGCTTCTCACACAAGTGTCTTTAATTGCTACTAACTGCTCCAACACCTGAATAATCCAGTTAAAGGCTTGAAATTTGTAACTATCAATGTATAAAGGGTGACATAGGCACAATGGAGATGATGCTATTCAATTATCAGAACATTTATCCTTACAAACACTAAATTAGCATTTAGAAGAGAGATGGTACAGAAATTTAATTCTGGCCTGAATTCAGCAGATATCAAACCTCCTTGAAAGCAGCTTTAGTCATTCTGGCAGCATCTGTTGTGATAGAAACGGAGTTGATATTTTAGCGGTGTTTTGAATAGATGGGTGTTTGGCTGGCCATGTCTTTTGAAAGTGTGTCTTTCCGTTCTGTTAAAAACTGTATGACTGTATAATGGAAGTGCACAGACTTGAAATGTTACATTGGATTTCATGTAGATGACAGGGTCTCACGGTGGAGTCTGGAGACACTTCTGTGGAAGGAGATCCAACACCATTGAGTGTCACTGAGATACCTAACTGGCCAGCAATGAATCCTCCCTTGGATTTACGATCCTGCGTTAAATCCCATTTAACGTAAGTTGGTAGCCAATAGGAAGGCTGGCCTCTCTCCATCTTCCATCAGCAACACCGGGAGTGGATGCCCCTGTCATCCAAGCAATCTCTGGCTCATCCTACCCCGGTTCTATTTTGAAATAAAATTATGCTTTTGTTTATCTTTAGTTCTTTAGTTTTCAGGTTTGCCATTTGCTCCTTATATGTTTTGAAAATTTGAAAAAAATAGGTCATAGTCATGCAGCATGAAAATTGACTCTTCAGCCTAACTTATGTGTGCGAACAGATTTCCTAAACTTAATCAGTCCCATTTGTCTACGTTTGACCCATAACCCTCTAAACCTTTTCTTTTCATGTACCTGTCTAAATGTCTTTTAAATGTTCTAATTGTACTTGTCTCTACCACAACCTCTGGCAGCTCATTCAAATACGCTCTACCCTCTGCATGAAAAAGTTGCCCGTCATATCCCTTTAAAATTTTGCCCCTCTCATCTTAAACCAATGCCATCTAGCTTTGGACTTCCCTACTCTGGGGGGGAAAAAGACCTTGGCTATTCACCTTTATCTATGCCCCTCATGATTTATAAATGTCTGTAAGGGCACCGCTAAACTTCCTACAATCTAGGGGTGAAAAGTCCCAGCCTGTCCAGCCTCTCCTTATAGCTCAAACTCTCCAGTCACATAATATTCCCTTTAAACCACAATGTGTATGGATGTTTTGCACCAATGGATCACAGTGTTTCTTTGGCAAATAATCTGTAGAACTTCCTTCATATCTCTTAGTATTATTTCTGATTTTACTGTGCATGAAGATGATGTCATTTGGACGATGTCATTGAAGTCAGGGGTGGGGTGCAATCATTATCCAGAAATGTTTTGAATTCCATTCTTTGTCTGGATTAAGTGGTGACAATATCAAGTTCGAATGAGTTATAAACGTCCATGGTTATAGAGTAGTCACATTTTATACTTAAAATTCCTGCTGGGTTGCGATAGCATGGATCAGCTGTCTGAGAGGTCAATATCTAGAGAGGTTTGAAAAATGTACCTGCTGTGGGTAACTTGTCATGAATAAATTCCTATTGGAGGTGAACAGTTAGTATTTAGCATCTGATAATTTTCTGAATGTAAAACTGCAGTAAGCATTCTTTTTGTTTTTCCACTGCTACTTTAGGTTCCCTTGTATGATGAAGAACAAGATGGCAGAAAATCTTTGTTAAAGAAGAGTCATAGTCCCTTTAAACCAGTTTTGGGGCCTGTCGATACAAGGTAAATGCTTTAACCCAAAATAGTCTCTGAAAAGCTCAGGCTTGAACCTGTTTTCAATACACATATAATTGTCAGGTATGATTAATGTCACCAGTCAGGTGCTTTTTCTGATTTTTGCACATAGAGGAAGTATTCAAATAAACAAAAGAAAAAGGTTTAGATTTGTCTTGGAGAATGCTTGAATCTCAAGAGTAATGCCCATTTATATTTATTTCCATTAAAGCCTCTATACAACAGAAAGGTATTGTTTGCAAATTATATTGCTATGTATTTTCACGAATTATGGATATTTATTAGTTTTGCCATGTTGCAGCACAACATACTTATTCGGCATGATAACTAGGTAATGGTAATTTCAATTTGTGCTTTTCTGATTTTACTTTTTGTATATTAAGGAGATTAATTTCCTCTTGTAATGACAAATAGAAGATTTTTTTAACCCCCATAACTAATGTCTTAAACATGAAATTGCACTGAAACTGTATATATTGATAGCTGCGCCTTCCAGCTTTCCTGAGGGAAATGTAATTAAAGAGAGAGGAGAATTTTGATTGAGAGATTTTTGCATTGTTATTCTCCCTTTAATACTTTTCAAGACTGATATTGCCTAGCAATATACTGAATGCTTGTGCATCCTTTAATATTGAATGCACAATTACACAACTGTTTTTAAATGATCAAATATTTCGTCAGTGAACAGCAAACCATATTTTGTCTTCAGCCAAACTACTTCTGAATATGCCTTGCCTCTTCCCAGTGTTTCCTTCATTATTTCAAAACTTAGCCCACTATCCTAATTATTTGATTTGCTAGGGGTCTGGCCAAACCTTGGCTTAAGGGAAAGCCATTTGAAGAGATAAATTTATTTTTCCATAGTATGGTGACTGTGTTTCCCATGAACTGAAACCATTCTGCCTATGTTGCTCTTTGAACTATACATTCCCTCGTAATCTTTTTGTGCCTGTGGAAATATGAATGTGACTGAAATGACGGTTCTCAGATTTGTTATCTGTGAGGTTTCTGCCTGTTACTTTTGACCTCCTCAAGTTCTGACAGCAGAATTTTATTTCTCCATATGTCATTAACTTCAGTTGAATGCAAGCTTGATTGGATTTTTTAAACATTTTTTATCTGAAAGACTTTATTGCAACACTAGTGTGATGAGTTCTTTCAATTTGTCAGAACTCGTGATGAGAAAAAACGTGAAGAACGACGACGTAGGGACTTTGAAAGATATCCTCATCCTAGAGATCTTTATCGAGAGCGGTATGACCGCCGTAGGGGCAGAAGCTATAGCCACAGTCCAACAAAGAGCGCAAGTCGAAGTCGCAGTCGCAGCCGAGACAGGACTCGAGATCTTGGGCGCAGCAACAGCACAAGTAGAGGTAAATAAGCGTGCTTATGAAACATGTAGGTTTTTTCTTCAGTTCTTAATGGTGCTTCTTCTTGGTTAGCATCTTACATTTTATGTTATGGGTATGTGTGGGAAAGGTACGGAGGTGAGTAATCTGTTTACTGTCAGCATTGATACATAATCATTCATTGGAAAGTTGACTTTCTGCGATATGATCTGCTGAATTATGGATATTCCTCCACTCTGACCTCATTTCAGTGCTGGACAGATCTTCATCTGGATTAGTGACAACAGCAACTTCTGTATATTTAGCACCTTTTTACGGAGGAAAGTGTCTTAAGGTGTTTCAAAGCAGCAAAATCAAATAACAATTGATTCAGAGCCAAAAGAGGAGGTACTGTGAAGGATAAATAAAAAAGTAATTGAAGAAACATGGTCTAAGACGCACAGACCTGAAGCTCTGGAATTGCACAAAAAACCTCACCATGTCCATCGTTTTGTGCAAAGATCTGATGTGGAAGGAAGAGCGATAGAGTGAATGATGCATTGTGATAGGATCAAATATCATTGTTCATTCAACTTTTCAATTGCCTTTTCATTTTCGTAAAGGTTGAATGTCTTGCCATTGCTTTGAAGCAGTAATGAGAGTATTTTAAATCTGGAAAATTTTACAATTAAATTGTGAAAGACAGGGTGATACATGGTGAAAGGTGTGCATTTTATGTCGAATTTCAAAATAGTGGCATACGGGTATTGATGAGTTTTATGAGGGTTTCTTTTATAGTCAGAGTCCTTCTAGATAAGCGATCCAATAGGTGTCAGAAAACCATAAGACCATTAGCCAAAGAAGCAGAAGTAGGCCATTTAGCCCATTGAATCTGCTCAGTTGTTCATCGAGATCATGGCTGATCTGATAATCATCAACTCCAGTTTCCTGTCTTTTTCCTAATAACCCTTGATTCCCTTACTAATTAAAAACCTATCTGGGTCAGCCCTTGAGTGTACTCATCACCCTGTTCTTGACGGTCTCTATTGTAAAGATTTACTAAGGGAACAAGTTCTTCCTCATCTTTGTCTTAAATGTGTGATCCTTCAGCCTGAGATTATGCTGTTTGGTCTTAGACTTTCGCCACAAGAGCAGACAATCTCACTGCATCTACCCTGTCAAGTTCCCTACGGATCTGACGTGCTTCAATAATATTGCCTGTCATCCTTCTTAACTCCTCAAATAAATGCCCAACCTATTTAATTTCTCCTCAAAAAGTCCCTCCATACTGCTATCAGCCGAATGTGCCTTCCCTGGACAGCCTCCAATGTTGTCAGTATGTCTCTCCTTAGATAAGGAGCAGAAAACAGTTCAGTGTTTCACCTATGGTCTGAGAAGTGCCTTGTATAGTTTTAGCAGAATCTCTCTACTTTTATACTCCATTCCCTTTGAAATAAAGGCCAACATTCCATTTAGAGATGGTAAGAACTGCAGATGCTGGAGCCAGAGATAACAGTGTGGAGCTGGAGGGACACAGTAGGCCAGGCAGCAGCAGTGGAGCATGAAAGTTGATGTTTCAGGTTGGGACCTTTTTCAACATTCCATTTGCCTTCTCTACCTGCTGAACTTAGGTGCTAGCTTTTTGTGATCTTTGGAGGAGAACTCACAAATCCCTCTGTTCTGTAGTCTTTGTCAATTTAAATACTATTTGGCTCCTCGTTGTTTCCTGCCGAAGTGCGTAACCTCATTTTCCCATGTTATATTCCCATGTTGTATTCCCGTGTCAATTTTTTGTTTTGTGGTATCCTTGTGGCACTCTGTTAGTTACTGGTTGTTGCACTTGCTGTCTGTTGCACTCTGGTGCATATGCTCTCTCTCATACACGTGCGCTCCGTCACACTTTGAGATTTATAAAGTCATAGGCCTTTTCCCTAAGGTGGGGGAGTTAAAAACTGGGAGGCATATTTTTAAGGTGAGAGCAGAAAGATTTAAAAGGGATCTGAGGGGCAACATTTTTTCTCATAGGCTGATTCGTATGTGGAGAATGAGCTACCTGAGGAAGTGGTGGATGCAGATACAGCTACAACCTATAAAAGACATTTGAACAGATACATGAATAGGAAAGGTTTAGAAGAATTTGGATCAACGCAGGCAAGTGGGACTAATGTAGTTTTGGAAACTTGAGTGGCAAGTTGGACTGAAGAGTCTGTTTCCATGCTGTATGACTGTAACTACAACTCTGACTCTCTCTACCTCTCCCTCTCTAAGAAGTCATGCTGAGAAGTACAATATTGCTCCAAATCTGCATGCTTTTAGAACCTAAGAAAGATTAGATGTGTAAAAAAAGTTTATGTTGGCACACCTGGCAGAGGCATTGTCATGAGTCAGTTCAGTAGAACACAAAATGGTTGAGATACGGGTAAACTCTCTGGATTTGCATTTCTACAATGGAGTGTTGGGGAGCACGTTGAAATTTGTTTTTCTGTGTGTTTTATGATGTTTACAACTATATTCTATTCCTAGATAACTTTCTTTTGTGTAATAAATATCTTTTCGAGAAAATCTACAGCCTCGTGTGAAAATATCTCTATAACTAACTGAAAAGGCAGTATCTTTTTATTTTTCAGTATTTTAGATTGAGAAGTGATATGTGAAAAGGACTGTTTTTTAAAATTCAAGAATTGTTGAAGGGGTTACCTAAGCAAGTTACCTAACATGTATTGCATGTGCTATTTACACAGATGCTTGTTCAAGTGGTGGGAGAAGCACTACAGATAGGCTGGATCCACAGGTTGTCTGTAAAGCATGATTTGGACGGCCACAAGTAGTTGATCGGATTGTGCAATGGTTAACCAGTTGTCGATGACAAAGGCCTTCTACCTGCCAACAACTATGTGATTCACTCCCAGTTAGCTAAAGAGCTTGTTGGTCTGATTGCTTGAACAGAAGCTACTGGATTGTTGAAAAGTAAAATGTCTTTTTTTTTTCTGCAGTACAAAATACCTTCCACCTGAAGCAAGCTAGATTATTTACCAGATCAGTTGCTGTTGTTTAGATACACACTTAGCAAGCCAAATGAAATCAGCCTTACTACTGCATATGTGGAAGTAAAGCATTTGATGATCATTAAAATTGCTCAGTTGCTCCTAAACAGACTTTAAGAATAACAGAAATCAAGTTTAAACCTTTAAACAAAAATTAATACTTTGTCATTAATAATATAACTTTAGGAGAACACAGATAAACAACATGGCCATATAATTACAATCCACAGTCTTAAAACCCAATCTTCTTTAATCATGGTTCATAGCTCCTTGAAAGTGGAGTCACAGGTAGACAGGGTAGTGAAGAAGGCATTTGGTATGCTTGCCTATATTGGTCAGTGCATTGAGTATAGGAGTTGGGAGATCATGTTGCGGCTGTACGGGACATTGGTTAGGTAACTTCTGGAATACTGCATTCAATTCTGATCTCCCTGCTATAGGAAAGATGTTGTGAAACTTAAAAAAGGGTTCAGAAAAGATTTATATGAATGTTGCCCGAGTTGGAGGGTTTGAGCTACAGGGAGAGGCTGAATAGGCAGAAATATTTTCCCTGGAGTGTCAGAGGTTGAGAGGTGACCTTATTGAGGTTTATAAAAATAGTGAGGGGCATGGATAGGGTAAATAGTCAAGGTCTTTTCCCCAGGGTAGGGGAGCCCAAAACTCGAGGGCATAGGTTTAAGTTGAGAGTAGAGGGATTTAACAGGAACCCGAGGGGCAACGTTTTCATGCAGAAGGTGAAGCGTGTATGGAATGAACTGCCAGAGGAAGTGGTGGAGGCATCTGGATGGGTATATGAACAGGAAGGGTTTAGGGGGATATGGGCCAAATGCTGGCAAATGGGACTAGATTTAAGTTAGGATATCTGGTTGACTTGGACGAGTTGGACTGAAGGGTCTGTTTTGTGCTGTACATCTCAATGACTTTACAACCACCACTCACTCACAGACCGATTATGGTTAAGGATAAATTAAAAAGAAAAGAAGAGTTCTAACTTGCTAGTTCAGCAAATTGTTTCAAATGATGAATATGAGACCTTCAGAAATCTTTGGACAATAGGTTGTTTATAGGCAAGTATATCCTGCTTGAAGTCTGAAGTGATTAGTTAATGCATTAGATTTCAGCTGACTTTCAGAAATATTAAAAAAAAAGTATTGTAGATGCTGGAAATAAAAACAAATTTCTGGGAAAACTCAGCTGGTCTGGTAGCATCTGTGGTGAGAAAGCAGAGTTAACGTTTTGGGTTCAGTGGACCCTCCTTCAGAACTGACTGAATCTAGTTAAAGGTTGGTATATATGCTGACGTTGAAGTTTGGGGAGAGGGTGATGAGTAAATCATGGTTGGATATGAAGCCCAGAGAGTGACGACAACAGTTGGACAGACAAAGGAATGGGGAAAGATCAGCTGGAGGAGTCAATAGCTGCTGGTTGAGACCATTACTAGCTGACAGTGGGATGGTTGTGGTAGCAACCCATGTGATGACAAGGCTTGGTGTTTGGGGATTGGGGTGAGGACATGAAAGAAGGGCTCGGGCCCTAAAAATTATTGAACTCTGTTCACTGGGCTGTGGGTCTCCAAGCAGAAGATAAGATGCTGTGTGCCTCCTGCAAGCAAGTGAAAGTACCTTGGAGAAGGAAGCTCAAGGAACAAGTTTTAACAAGCCAATTGGATCATTTCTATGAGCCCTGCGAACAGAGACCATTCAACTGCCTTCCCAGACCTTCCCTCTGCCCATAACACCCATTTTTTTGTCTGTAAATGAATGTAGGGGGAGTATTATTAGGGGGTTAGAGTTTTAACTCGTAACTAATTGTTTACCCATCTCTAGAAGTATTTATTTGTAAAGTAATCTTAAGTACAGACAGCTGGTCTGTGTTTTCTATCAACCTGGGTCTAAAAGACCGGTAAATTGGCCTTTTTGTTTACTTTTTATAAAACCATTAACTATTGTGAAGACTCCAGGAATGGTGGGGCTTCATTTCCAGTGCACTGCTCCAGTGACA